TCTGTGGGTCTGTTCTTGTGCCAGTACCAAATTGTCTTGATTACTGTGGCTTTGTAGTAGAGCTTGAAGTTGGGGAGTGAGATCCCCCCCCACTTTATTCTTCCTTCTCAGGATTGCTTTGGCTATTCGGGGTCTTTGGTGTTTCCATATGAATTTTTGAACTATTTGTTCCAGTTCGTTGAAGAAGGTTGTTGGTAATTTGATAGGGATTGCATCAAATCTGTATATTGCTTTGAGCAGGATGGCCATTTTGACTACATTAACTCTTCCTAGCCAAGAGCAAGGGATGAGTTTCCATTTGTTAGTGTCCTCTTTAATTTCTCTTAAGAGTGTCTTGTAGTTTTCAGGGTATAAGTCTTTCACTTCCTTGGTTAGGTTTATTCCCTAGGTATTTAAGGCACCCCAATTTTGATGACTCCATGAGTATGGATCTTTTATTTTCATTAAATATGTTTATATACAAAGATGCAAAATTGTTAAATTTGCTTAGAATTCAATGTAGATTGCTACTTAGATGTTTACTTTATTCCTACTCAAATTACATGATTCTTTTAAAATATCACAGACATGAATTCATGCTCTCTTATTTCACTGAGAGTAAATTCTGAAAAAAATTAATGTAATCCAAGGGACCTCTACTTAAGAACCTAAGTTCATAATTTGAAATACCCTTCCACCCTCTCTGCTCCAAACGTCTTACAAAGACTGATGAAAAGCAGAAAGGAGAGATTTGCGGTTGCAATGAGTACAGCTAAAACCCCCCTGTCCTGATGCACTCTATTGCTGGAAGCCAGCAGTAGTGTCTGAGAATCCAATTTATGAAAGATAATGAGGGTTAAAATTACAAAATGAAGGGTTAGAACTCAGTGCCTGAAGGTAACAGCTAGGTGAGGCTTCTTGGCTTGTGAAGCCAGACAGAGAAAAAAGGTGGCCCTCCTGAGCTCTGGGCTGAGGACCGGAAAAGGATCTGTGTCCTGACATTTGTATGACCTGGAAACCAGTATCCCATGGCATTTGGTCTGTGACATCTTTGATATCACTCCAGAGCAGGTAGGTAATCCCAAAAGAGCATTTTAAGGCCTGGCTCTAAATTGGAAGCAAAGGGCCTCAGCAGAGAAAACTCAAAGTTACAAAATTGATAAAAGACAAATAGAAAAACAAAAACCAGAAACCAAACTGTCCCTCAAAAGGAAGCTGCAGAACAAACTTTCAAACCTAAGAAGAAAGCTAATGCTAAGAAAGACAATCGTATCAACAAAGGTTTCCTACTCTGTTCTGTGAGTGTCTCAGTCTATCCCTCTGCCAATATCATAATTCTTTTCATTGTATTCTTTACCATATATATTTCTACTGGATAGGACAAGTTCTAAATCCCTTCCTATTCTTCAGATTTTTTCAAAATTGTCTTATTTTTAACCCTTATCTCTTCCACCATACTTACAAGATAAGTTTGTATTCATGCTTATACTGGAAATGAATGGAATTTAAAAAGAATTTATATCTTTCTTACACATATCCATGGATATGCATTAATATATGTACAGAATTAGAATTCAACTTAGATTCAACTTCAATTAACATAAAAATCCATGAGCATGGACTATATCTGAGGCTATTCGGATGTTTCTGTAAATGTTTTGTAGTTTTCTTCACAAAGATATTACACACCTTTTATCTTATGTTTGGGTGCCTTACAGTCATTGTTGCTATTGTAAAGGAAACTTAAAAGTTAATGTTTTAAATGAGTTATTACTGTTGCATACTATACCTTAAGTGAGGGCCTACTAGATTGACAAAGACTACTTGAAAGCCATAATAGAGGCCAGGAGACAATAAACCAGTATCTTCATAGTGCCAAGGGGAAAAAAATGGCCAACATAGAATTTCATATTCTGCCTGATAAGTCATTCAAGAATGGAACAAAGAGAAAGAGATGGATACTTGTTGACATACAATGACTATGAGAATTGCCACCTACAGATCCTTATGAAAATAATTATTAATAAATCATGGTTTATTTCTGCAAGAAAAAAAAATTAACCCAGTGAAAAGCTATAGAGAGAAAAAAACCAATAGGGGATTGGTAGATTTTTTTTTTCTTGTTCTTCAGTTTCATTATCATGTTTCTTGGTGTGGATTTGTATTGATTTATCCTGCTTAATATTCAAAGTATGTTTTATTCTGAGATTTCTTTATTTTTCAGTTTTGGAAAGTTCTCAATTCTTATTCCTCCACATTCTCTTCTTTAAAACTTTTAGTAGAAGTATCTTAGAAAAATCCTGTATTTGTGGAGGATGTCATTCCTTTGCTTTTCTTTTGAGCATCTTAAATATGGTCACTTTGAAATTCTTTATCAGATAGTTTCTTAAAATCAATTTAATTTGGAGTGAATCAATAAGATAAAGACAAATGACCAGATGAGATGGGCAATGGTTATGATACAAAAAATCACAGAGTATATAATTTAAATGCCTAAATTAACAGAAAAATACTCACTCCCATTAATAAAAAGAACAAATACATTCATATAGCACTGACTGTGTGCCAAGCACCATTCTAAGTACTTTATGTTAACTCAATAAATCATCAAAAACACCTGTGTTACAAAAAAGGGAGCAGAGTAATGGAGAGATCAAGTAACTTGCCCAAAGTCAGGCATCAGGTAGTGAACCTGGGATTTAAGCCTGGGCAGAATGGCTGGCTTGGAGCTATGCTCTCCATATAGTAGCCATGAGCTACATGTGGCTACTTAATTTAAAAATTTAAGTAAGTTAACATTAAATAAAATTTAAAAAGCCAGTCTCACTGGCTACATTTCATGTGTTATTAGCCACATGTGGCTCATATTTTACCATTAGAAAGAGAGCAGATAGAAACCATTTCCATCCTGCAACATCACCAAGGGGAAATCTGAATCTCAGTTACTCCTTCCCAAGATTGACCGTATACAAGCTTTTCTTTTTAAAAATTCTATGGTAAGCAAAATACATTTCTATTCTTCTCTGAACCTCCTACTTCTTTCTGTTCCTCACTATGCGACTAATGAAATTAATTAAACAACAGTGGCAAGATTTGATGATAAAGGCCATTTCTCCATGGAGAGATTTGAGCCTGGGACCCAGAAGAGCTATGTAGTGGCTAAATAAATAAATATTATCCCCATTTTACTGATGAAATTCATCAGTCCCCAGAAAGAGCAAATAACTTCTGCAAAATCATAAAACAGATTACCGATGTGAGAAATGGGCTCTCGCCTCATCCCTGCACAAGCCGAATTAACGAGCCACTCCATCGTCGAAAGTTCCGAGAGCTGGTCGCTTATTTCCTCTTTGCCGCCAAGTAGGAATGGCCTTTAAGAGAGCCTGGAAAAAAGGAAACTCATGATTTTCTCTGACACTAGAAGGTGCTGGGTCTCTCTGTGGACAAGTGCCTCACCTTTGGCTGGTGCTTTGTACCTGCACAATAAAAATTCACTGGGTTGAACTGAGCTGAACTAAATTCAGTTGAATTGACCTGACTTGTTGGTGATGAAAAGAGATGGTGCAGAGAATCTCCTTCCTGAACCTCATGGGAGAAACAGGAACCCTTTTCTCCAGGGCTGGTAGGACCCAGCTATCAACAATTCCAACGTAGCTGCAGCCTTTCCAGTGGTAGTGAGTTATGCCTGCTAAGAGAAGCCATCCCTTTTCAAATTTCATGTGTAACCATGGAACCAGAGGAAAAAAGTGGATGTAGGACCCTTTGTCACTTGAAAATTTGCGTTACTTTTTTGTTTTTTGTTTTGCTGTTAAGTTCTTTACAACTGGAAACAAATGGATACGTCAAAGCCTTTATTATTATGGATACTTTTATTCTGTTCAAAACAAATTGAGGAAACCTTTCTTATGTTTAGAAAAGACATCTTAGCTAAGTTTTGAATAAACATCAGAAAATTCTTACTTTTATCCGAATCTTCCAGTATTTTCTGGTTGGCCCTTCATTCCCTATGCACATATTGCCTTAAACATGTCACTTTTCCAGGTGACACCACCCTAAAGAGGCCAGTTTCCCACATCCATATGTCAGGAACAATAAACTTTTTTTGGTTACACACAGCTAAACTAGGACTTTTAAAACACTGGTCTTACTAGTCTATTACATGCTCACAAACCTTTGTTTTGCTGTCACTCAGAGGAAAAAAGTGTATAAATCAACTGGGCCAGGACTTTTTTTTCTTTGAATTAACTCGTGAAACCTTTCTCCCCCCTATTCCTTTTACTTACACAACTCGTAGTCTGTCTTAATTTCTCCTCATGGTACCAGACAACTATCTGACGTGGTCCTTCAAGTCAGAGAAGGCACAGTGCTTTGGGCTCAAATCAATCATAGCTCTACAAATGAGAACAAACTATGGAACTCATGCTGAAAAAGAAAAGCAAATTGTCTCTACTTTTAATAATGCAGCTTTGCACCCGGAGCACATAATAGCCTTTAAATTAAGAAATTAGTTACATTTCCTTGATAGCTCACATTCTTATTAGCACAATTGGCATGCTTTCTTGGCCTCTTACTAATTATTCATAAAATAGCATCTCATACGAGATGTCTCATTTGTCCACCAATTTTTCAATTTTTTAAAAATATTGTTATTATGAAATGGCATATGCCCAGTATTCATGAAAAAGGTAGAAAAAAGAAAAGATCTTTGCTAGGGATGGAAACTGGTAATTATGCTCTGCTAAGCACATCACAGAAGCCCAGCTGGCACAATTAAAGAAATAGCTGATCAGTTCCAGTTATTGATTCTGCTAACATGTTTGTTCATGGTTGCTTCTTGTCTAATTAGTTTTTTCTGCTTTCTTAGTCTAAAAGCATACCTTTCCAGACAGGGCTATTTTCAGACATTAGTGAGCAAGGCTTTCTTTGGTTGCCTTCTAGATTTTTTTTTTTTATCCCATACTTTGCCTATTTATTTCTTCATTTAGCTGGGAAATGGCCTGAAAGCTAGACTTTTCTCTGAATTCCTTATTGAATCTCAAATCTGGATTTTACACGCTTCTCTTTTTAAATGGCTATCTCCGTAGCATTGGTACAGCCCCACTGAAAGCGGTTGTCATGAGAGGATGACGTGTCACCAGGGCAGTCTCCACAAACTGGGACAAACCAAAAATGCCTACAAGATGCTTCAAGTCCTATTTGATGAAGCTCGATAGAAGTGTTCTCTCTCTCTTTTGCCAAAAAGGAAAAGCCTAACTCAGCGTCACTTCCGTTTCCCAAATGTAGATTGTACAAGAAGTGAAGATGTTTTTATTATTAATGAAACGGGCAAAATGCAGCATCAATTTCCAGGAGGAAAAGCTTGTGGTCTCTGTCCCGGTAAGCCCTCAGAATGCAGCTCTGTTGGAGGAGCATATGCATATGGTATGGACTCCTTGTCTTTCTCAAAGTTTGTGGAATACAGCTCTAAAATACAGCAACAGATGCTAGTGTGAAATGGAGACAGAACGTCTGTGGCCCAGCAGAGCAGTTTACCAATAAATCCCGCCCTGGCACTATGGCTGTGCTCAGTAGCAATGGCTGCTGTCACGAAGCTCAGGGACGCTGGTGTGCTGTCAACATTTTAATCACTCCCGTGCAGGCAAAGAATAAATGTTGCTCTTTTTTAATACTGCTGATTTTTCTCTCTTATGCAAGATTTAGAAGCAAAGACATTTGTTTACCTAAGCATTAAAAACGAGATAAAAGGAACCCTTTGAGTATTTAGATAGGAATTTTTATTCTCCAGGTAAAAGTGGATGGGAATGATCCATTTTTATCTAGTGCTTTTACTGTTAATTGCTGATTTCGTTGGTCCCATTGCTATGAACCTTTCAAACTGAGGAGGATGAGCCAATTTTCCTTCTTTCACAAAAGAGCACCTTGCAGATTAGAATATTCTATTAACTTTACAGTTTTACTTTGGCATCGTATCGAGGCATTGGGACACTTCGATGCAAATGACAGAAAATTAATTTTCACTTTTTTTTATTACATTCACAACAGAAAACTACTGATGACATAGCTGCCGTAGCATAAAAATGACATGAGGAATTATGAATTTTCTTTCCTCCAGGGAAAAGAAAATGGACAATTAAAAGCTTTACCTTGGCCTGTATTCACCCTGAAAGTTCACGGTGAAAATTTGAAAAAAAAAAAGAAAGAAAGAAAGACAAAACTTCAAAAGTTCTGCTGTTAAAATCATTAGGATTGGTTATAAAACATGATAGAGAGGAGAACTGAAAAAGAATCACAGTAATTCAACAACCAATAGTTTCAAGTCAAAGAATCTCAAACAGAAGTAGAGTTTAAAGTGAGTAATGCAACCCAGGGGCAGGCCGGCTCTCCCTCACAGGCCAAATCCAGCCCACTGCCTGTTTTTGTAAATAAGCGTGTCCTGGAAGAGCCACACTCATTTGCTTACATGGTGTCTGTGCTGCTTTTGCTCTGCCACAGCAGACCTGACCCGCTGCAACAGACAATGTGTGGCCTGCAGAGCCTGAGATATTCACTGTCAGCTCTTCACAGGAAATGTTTGTCAGCCCTGATGGAATGCATAAAATACTTAGATATTTTCTCCTTTGAAGAAATAGAAATAAGGCAGAAGCTCTCTTGTTTTTTTTGGCAAAAAAAATGTTCAGGACTGATTTAGGATACCAGCTGATTTCCAAAAGGGAATCCCAAATGAAATGCCAGGAAGAATCAAAATCCTCAAGGAAAACTGAGACTTTGAAATGTTCTTGAAAAAATTAATGGGCTGGTACAGTTCATTTCCTCAGATACAGAAAGTGCTGTAAATGGGAGGTCCAGTCTTTCACATTTTTTATTCAGTTTACTATCAATTGTAATGCTTTAGCTTCCATAGTATTGCCTAAATTCTCCCATTTCTCCACAGCTTTTGTCTCAACTTGTTTTATCTCCTTTACAGCCTTTTAACTCTATTATCTCTACTCAGCCGCACAGTCCATGTCCTACTATTGGTCCCTCGGGATTAGTTTACCTTCAGGGTCACCAACCAGTATGATTGTAAGTCTCTGTCTCCCCCCTTCCCACACTCATTTCTAACTCAGGCATTTAGTTATTTTGGGATCCCCTCCTTTTTATCATTCCGAACTTACTTGAAGGAGAGGACTCAAACTCTGTTCACTGGGGTATGGTACCTGATAAAATTAAGACTACACTCCTTCCCTCAAGAAACATTTGATTTTATTATGGGAGATACATTATGTACACCTGTCGACACTTCCGCGAGTGGGAGACTCACTTGAAGGACGCTGTTTCCAGAGGTTGGGGAGGTGATCACTGAAGATTAGGCTTGGATCTTCCTCCTAATACCTCTTGAAGCATTAAGACATTTTGCCAACCATATACTTTGTTATATCTGTTCCCAGCCTGCTATGTCCCTTCATTATGTGGCATCAGGAATCAAATTCTCCAATAAACTGTGAGTTTCTGGAGGGCAAAGACTGTTTCACATTCACCACTGTATCTCCAGCAGTGGCACATTAGGTCTGAAACCCAGGCTCATTGAATGTCTGAATGTGTGAGCACATTCTGCTGGCTGAAATGTCCCAGAGACAGCTCTCTTGGCTCAGAGTGAAGGCCAGATTCCTTCCAGGGTCCAAAAGTCCCAACACAGACTTGCTCACACTTCCTTTTTGACCATCACCACTCTGCTCTTCCTTCTTCTTACTCTGGTCTGGGTATACTGGCCTCATCACTGTAACCCTTGTGGCCACCTCAGGGCCTTTGTACTTCCTGCTCCCTCTGTCAGTCATATCCATGGCTCACTACCCTTCTTTATTTCAAGTATCTGCTTAAGTGTCATTCCTTCCCGTAGCCGCCCCCATCCTCTTACCTGCTTTATTTTTTTCCCCTGGTGCTTGCCACCTTTTAGGATAATATATAACATGCTTTTTATTTCTCTCCATTAAAACATAAACTCCACAAAAGCAGGGGATTTATTTAGTTTCCCCTTGGTTATCTTCCCAGGATGTAGGACAGTGCCTGGCACACATCAGATGCTCCACAGGTCTTTCCAGAATGAATTACTCCCAAAGCATGGGAATAAGAAAGATAATCACCATCACTCTTTTTCTTTCCCCCTTGACTCTGCATTGTATATATGTACAAACAACGGCTAGTTTATACAAATGCGCTTCTTTTCCTGTTCCCACCCCACATTGTGTTTACCATTCCATAGGCTTCCTCTTGTTTTCCCCCTAAAGTCTTCTCAGATTAAAAAGGAATTCTTCTTCCTTCTGCAACATAATATGCATTAAGACCCTTGTCACAATGGACTCCTTCAAGTCCAGGCAGCATTGCTGCCCAGCTGCTTGAAAAATCA